GCCTTAGGTCTCTTCTTACAAATGTCCTCCCCTCCCTCCTTAGGACGTAAAGGGTCTGGTCACTGTTTTCCTTGAGAATTGGGCAAACACTGATGCCAAGACGAGAAAGGCAGGAAATGAGCAGACGGTTGGCAGAGGCCCTGCCCTTGGCCTTCACATCTCTGGCCTCTCCTCTCCGGGCTCATCCCTTCAGGGAGCCTGAGACCAGGGCCTTGACTTTCCCAGGCACGCGGATGTTTCCAAGCCTTTCTCGTTGTGCACGTATGGTTTTCTCCCCTTTAAAGAGGATTCTGATCTTAGAACCCCCAGGAAATAGAATGCACTTTTATTCTTTGGTTCAACAACTACTTACTGAGCACCTAGTTTTTGCTCGACCCGGTGTCAGTGTAATCCCACCTGTCAGAGAGCTCACACCGTGCACTTCGTAAACTAGCAACGAGATGATCAGTACAATGGGGTTTACAGTTAACTAACCGAAGACTCGATCCAGAACTGCCTGGGCTCTGAGGGGAGGAGCAGTGCTGGCGGAGAGGAGCCTGTGAGCTGGGGTACTGCCCTGGGAGCCTGGACCCGCCGGGATCTGTCCGTGGTGCTGGCTTTGGCCCCAGCGTGTCCTGCCTGAAACACCTTCTCCTGGGTCTCATGGTCCGAGTTTCTTTTGCCACCCAACTTTAAGATATGCAGGAACAAGGAGGAAAGGGGCACTGCTGTGTGAGACCCCTCAAGTCTGCGTAACCCGTAACCCGTAGCCAGCAAGTGGGGAAAGGGGGAGAATAAAGAAGCTGAAGGAACCTCCTATGTGGGTCCTGTCTTTTACTCTGATAGAAACCCTCCGTGTTGCCCTCACTGTGTCCTGAAGAGCTGTCACAGGATCCACTTCCTCAGCTGCACGCGGCTCCTAGTACGCCCGTCGGTGTGTTCTTGTCTCACACACTGCATTTCTCTCTCTCTCTCTCTCTCTCTTTCTCTCTCTAAGTCAGGGGTGGGAACATCTGGCCCGAGGGCCATATGAGGCCTGAGAAATCACTTGGTCTGGCCCTGCCAAGGCATTAGGGGTGAGTTAATGTTTGACCAAATATAGCAGACTAATTTTTAAGTTGCACATTTTGTATGACCCAAGAATGATGTCATAAATATCCAGAAGGCCCTGGCCGAAAAGAGGTTCCCGCCCCTGCTGAGTGCCGCCTGGCCACCGCAGGGCAGCTTGGTGGAGCCCGAGGATGGCGGGGATCATACACTGACTGTGCGTACTGTAGTGTTCACTGTGCACGGGCCTCGGGCACCTGCTGCATAATGGCTGGCAGAGAAGGAGCAGCATGTAGGTCTGTGTCCTGCCACCCCCTCCTGCACCCCCCCTCAGTCCAGACAGCTCACACGGACCAGCAGCTCCCTCAGGGGAGCCTTCCAACAGGCCTGCGCTCTGGACAGCATCGCAAGGGCTGGCCCCTCCTCTCGGGAAAGCCTTTCCCGCCTCCCTCAGCCCCACGTTCCTTATTCCTAAGCTGCAAACTGGGTTATGACTTGACTCTGGGGAACCACATTCCCACGCGTTGATAATGTCCGGTGACATCCCTGACCCTGGGACCCGAGTCCTTTCAAGTGCGAGTGTCTGCAGCTTAAAAGCGGAGACCAGACTGTGTGTAGATGGTGGGAAAGCCATCGACAGAGAGTCAGCCTGTGCTGCCTGCTTCTCGGAAGCTGACAGCAGGTGGAGAGAGCAGACTTGCAGAGACCAGGCACAAAGGCCACAGCCTCTGGGCCAGCACCGAGTAACAGCTGCCTCTCTTGATTGGAAGAGGCAATAACAGTCACTCCAGTTAATAACTGAATGGGTGCCCAGGACCTGCAGTGGAGAGTGGAGCTGTCATTCTGTGCTGGCCGTGAGCGAAGCTGGGGTATTGGGGTGGAGCTGCTAATCCTATTAGTCGGTGTCAGTGTCAGTGTCACGGGGTGGAAGGCAGAGCTGTCGCTTTTCTGCCAGGGACCCAGCGGAGCCACACATTTCCCGTCAGAGGTGTTTTCCTCACTCGAATACGAATGGTGAAGCTCTTATGGAAGCTCCAGTTTCACAGGCCTGAGTGCAGGGTGTTTGGAAAAGGGTAGAAGGAGGAGGAAAGTTCCCCTTCCCAGAGGAGATCGTCTCATTCCTGGAGCAGCCTGCTCGGTGTCCAGGCCGTGTGTGTCCTGAGCTTGCCCTGGGGGAGGACACAGAGGGGAGTGGGGCCTTCCAGTGCGGGGCGTGGACACACACACACACACACACACGCGCGCGCGCGCGTCTGAATAAGTAGGAAGTGGGGAGGGCGTCGGGACAGGGCCAGTTTATGCAGAGACCTGACTGGCTGAGGGTCGGGAAGGCGTCGTGAAAGGCAGCCTGTGAGTTGGGTCTCGGGACTGAGGGCACGTGAGCATGACACGCTGGGAAGGCGAGCTGGTGGCGGTGTGGGTGGGGAGAGTAACTGGTGCCGCGTTCTTAGCGGACTTGCTTCTTCCCTAGCCGCTCACAGGAGGGGGACACGCACAAGGCGATGCATTCGAGGCGCATCCAGACTCCTGGGAGCATCCAGGCATCCAGGCAGAGAGAGCGGTGATGGGCAGAGACGTCTGGGGTGCGATGGACGGGAGGGAAGCACGGGGCCAGCGCTCCCTTTCCTCCTGGGCTGTGAAGTGATGTCCCTTTTCTCCTTTTCTCTCTTTATTCTTGTTTGCATATAGACTGTTCAGTGCCACATGCTTAAGGTGGTTTAACTTAACGTTGGGACAGCTCATCATGGAGCCCACTTGCTTTTCCCTCTCTGTCCCCTGAGGTGGGAACGTCACAGGATGTAGAGCCCTGCGTCCACCTCTGTGCGGACAGGGGGTGGGGTTCCCTGTCGTGCTCACAGGCCTGTATCTCCTGCTCATCGGCCTCACCCCACAGGACATCGTTGCTGAGAAATCTTTTCACTTGTTCGCCTGTTGTTGAGCCCCCGTCCATCTGTTGGCCCTGAGGTGGGGACTGCGCAGTGTTTCTGTCCGGCCGCGAACCGGGGGAGCACAGGGGTGGGGCGGCTCGTTACATCTCTGACCCCACGCTCCCCGCACCAGAGCCCTCAGCTGCAGGGGCAGACGATGTGTGAGGTTTTATTTCACAGTTGATTTTGCTATTTGCTTTATTTCTTTGAAAAGCTGCAAGTGTTAAGTCCAAACGTTTTCAGTGGTACGTTAATAAAAGTCTGGCTTTGAATGGCCTTTATCTCCTGGAATTGGCTTATTTTTTTCCTGCTTAATGTCTTGGAGGGCCTGTGTCTTAACGTTTTCAAGAGGTCACGTCCATGTTGCTGGAGCCGCATGAAAGCTTTGAGGTTTGTTTTGTTTTGTTTTGGAGGCGAGATGTACACACTGAACGTCTGCTTTCACTCAGCCTTCCCCTGTGCCGTGCTGGCCCCTCCGCGTGGGAAAGGCCTCAGGAGGGCAGTCTGCTGGGTCCCCTCTGCGCAGGCCGCATGTGGGAGCGCCTGCCTGGCCGAGGCTGGCGCCGTTGTTTTAGCTGGAAAGCCCGTGATTCTCCAGCCGCACGGCGTTCCAGTTGGAAGCCTTACCTGTCCCTGTCTCCCTGCTCAACTCGCGGCTCCTGAGGAGGCTCACGGTGAACAGGTCCTTCATCTTGAGAAACTGCGTTTCATTCTTTGGGCACGAAACTCCATTCCAGTGAGAAACTCCTGTTCGAGGCTCATGCCAGAGAGGAATCGGGCGTGTGTCCTGGGACCAGACCGGAGGGTCACTGCCTGTGTCTCCACGTGGACACCCCGTGGCCGTCTGTCGGCGTGCCCTCCCCCCGGCCTCCGCAGCACGGAGAGGTGGAGCACTTCCTGAGACTGTGCCCTCGCGCGCCAGGCTTTGGTGAGGAAGCCCACGGAGCTCTGGCGCAGCAGGGACACGGAGGGCGAAAGAGGATCGTTCCCTCGTTCCCTCTGAGGAGGGGAGGTGCGTGCGGGACAGAGGCACTGAGAGCGTGGGCCACGTGGCGTCTCTGCTCGGTCTGTAAGTGGCTGCCTTCTCTGTGCACGCGCCCCCCTGTGTCTGCTCCTCTCTCTGGGAGAACACAGGTCCTATTGGATTAGGACCCACCCTACCAGCGTCTCTAACTTAGTCACTTCTTTAAAGACTTTATCCTCAGATACACTTACATTCTGAGGGACCAGGGGTTGGGACTTGAACGTAAGCGTTTGGGAGACACGATTCAGCCCATAGCAGGTTGCTGTCCTCCTTAGTCCGGATGTGATGCAGTGGCTCTGTGCAGCCTTAACAGCTCATGCCTGCCCCCAGGATCACTCCTGCCTTCCGCACGCCAGAGGGATGCCAAGAACTTGGAGGAGCTTCTTCCCACCAGCTCTGTGAGCAATTCAGAAAACGCACAGAAATAATCAAAGGTGGTTTGATGCGCTTCCTACAATGGCTGAAGTAGAAAAAAAAGGCATAGCTGCATGGTTCGATGTTAGAGGATATTCCTGAAGAAAAATTCTAGAAGAGGACATCTCGGTGGAAGTCAGCTTGCCTTGTTAGGTGGTGATGACTGTTCCAGAATGATCTGCCTTTTCAGGGTATCGTGACAACTTCCGTATGAGATGGTTCTCCCTCTGCCCGGAGCACTTCGCTCCTTTCCCTCCTGTCTCACCTGACTTCAACCTCAACGTGGTCAGCGGAACCGTGCTGACCGCCACGCCCTCGTGCTCCTGAAGCGCGGGCCTGTTTCTTCAGGCGCTAGCCACGTCGACATCATCTTGTTTACAGGCATTGGAGGCGCGCTGCCTCACCCACCACGTCTCAGGCTTCGTGGGGGACAGCAGTCGTGTCCTTGGGGCTCACCACTTTTGACCTGCTGCTCCTGCTAAGCCTTGAATAAATATTTGCAGAATAACTGAACCAGCAGAACGTGTCCCACTGCAAGTCAGTGTTTCATGTGGCTCTCATTCTGTGCCTGGGAAGCTGAGCTAATTTCTGTTTTTGTTCTTGTCTAGAATGTGGCCGATCAGATTGCATTTCAAGTTGCGGGCGGATTAACAGCCCTTGAACACATTCTTCAAGGAGTGGTCCCAGCCGCGAACGCGAACGCAGTTTCACGCATTCCTCCCAAGTGAGTACAGGCTCTTCGTCTGTCTTCCACCTTCCGTTTATGAGTCCTTCCTGCCCTGTGTGTCCATGCGGGAGACCACGAGGAAGTGGGACGTGTGTTCAGGCTTGAAGAGCAAAAGCTCACACTGCCCGCAGGGAGAAAAGCAGATTGAGCCTGAAGCCATAAAAAGGAAATCTCTGTGGTCTGCGACCTTCTCTAGCCCTAAATCAGGAGGAATTGGTAAACTCCTGGGCAGTTGTAACTGCTTACAGAAATGGAGCCAAAATGAAGGGCAGTAGAGAAAGCCAGCTTCCTGTGCTGCCTGCAGAACAAGGTGTGAGCAGTGAACGAAGCCCGAGAGAGGGAGGCCCGGTCCTCGCCACAGGGAACCGTCGGAGGCCAGACTGCTGTCACCTGGAGCCCCGGCCACGCCGCTTGGACAGTCGCTCGGACGCAGGCGCAGCTGGGCTTTGACTGCGACGTGCTCTTGGCCGTCAGGGGCCTGCGCAGCCGGAGACTGGGTCTGCCTCCTGCTCTCCTGAGCCCCTGGTCTCTGGGATGTGGAAGCAGAGAGCTCTGCCTCCGAGGTCTGGCATCCCTGAGTTGTAACATGCACAATTTCTGGGTACCCACAGAGTTTAAGTGAGAAGTTTTCATAAAAATTTATATCACAAAGAAAACTCTTAAACATTTAGTTAGCCCAACAAAAGCGAGTGCTTCATTTGTCCATGGGGTAAAACAGAAAAAAAAAAAAATTCCCAAACCATGTTATCTTTTTTCTTGAGAGACATTTTGGTAAAACAGAAATAGCGCCACCTCTAGCGTCAGACAAAGCTGGACTCCAGTTCCCCGCTGGGAGAATTTGGGCGGTGCCTTAGCCCTGTGGACGTGTCTCCTCCCGTGGTCTCACGGCTGGTTGTGTCCACCTGGCGTGCGCTGTGCAGGTCAGCCGGAGTGCAGGGAGCGTCCTTGTGAACGGTGAAGTGCCCTAAGAGGTGAGGCGACAGGAGTCGTCTTTCCTGGTTCAGGACAGTGCTGTCTGTGTGGCATGAACTTCCTGCCACCTTGGCTTACTGGTGTCTGCTTTCTGAGGCCTTTGGTGACGTTCTGTGCAGAAGTTCTTTGGTACTGAGTCCGGGGTTTGCTGTTCTCTCGAAGTAGAGGTGAATGAAAGAGGGGTAGGTGCCCTTCGGTTGGGCATTTCTGTGCACAGAGCCCACCCGGGCAGTTCCAGCCTGTGTGCATTTCCTTCCTTCCTTCCTTCCTTCCTTCCTTCCTTCCTTCCTCCCTCCCTCCCTCCCTCCCTCCCTTCCTTCCTTCCTTCCTTCCTTTTTTTCCTTTGAGGCATTTTATTTCCACATATGTATTACATCCCTAAAAAAAGAATCCCAGGATTTTCCCCCCTGTGTGTTTTCGTCTTGCTTCTTCATGGTCCATGATGCCCGCTGAGGTTGTCAGTACAGTGAAACCAAACTGACGGACGGAAGCAAGTTGCTCTGCCATTTTTCTAGATCTTTGAGTTGCACATCGAATCTGGGGCTGATTACTCCACACTTGTTCAACCTGCCTGTGAGGGTCCCAGCAATTTCCCAGCTCTGTGGTCGTCAGTAACTTCACATTCGCCGATGTACCCATGCTTCATCATCACAGTCAGAAACCGGACGAGGACTGTGGAGCGCGGCCTGATGAGAGCCTGGCGCTGCCTCTCTCTTTGGCATTGCTGATACTCCTCAGAGCATCAGGACATTCCTGTGCACCATTATGGCAGCACGGACCGATGGCGGGAAGATCTGTGTGCGTTTTCTCACCCACGAGAGTTGTCGTCCTTATCAGAAGGGAAAGTGAACACAAACCACTGAGACTCCTTGTACGTCTGAGACAGAAAGATCCGGAAGACTAGCAGTGAAGTCTGAGAAAGAACTGCAGCGTTTCCACGTTGCCTTAAACGCCCTCTAACCTAAAGCAGGTGGCAGAGACGGAGTCAGGGGCCATTGGACTGGCGGCCCGTCAGGAGCATGTGGACGCTGTGGAGTGAAGCCACATGCACCTCACATCCACCATGCTAAGGCCCCGGCACATGTTAATAACATGTGTTAAACAAGTCTGCCTTTATAGGCACGATTATTCCACTATAATTTTAAATATCTATTTTTAGATCAAGACTTACTAAAAGCGAATAGCATTCTCCTACACAATAAAAGTAAAAAACTGTTTTGCAAGCTAATCAGCCATAGTGATTGATAAATGCTCTTCCCATTTGACTTATTGCGGCGTTTGGTTTATGTCTCAAAAGGCTGCACGGAGATGGTCACAGTTGACAGCTGCGGCACCACTAATGAGATTAAAGCAAAGAAATGTGTCGTGTCGCCTTTAACCTGCCGGTCGGCACTGCGAGCCACCTGGGTCTCCTCCAGAGCTGGCGTGCGGATGTGGAGTCGCACTGACGTGGCCATGTCCTGCTGAGACCTAGCTAAAGGCACGCTGACCATGACTGCCTTGTAATCAGACAAAACAGAGTTCAACACTAGAGTTTCAAAGCAATGTTTTAATTTTATGCTCCCCGACAGTTTTAAGTCCATTATTATAATCTCTGAAACATAACATTTCAAGGGGAGGTTAATTTTAGGAAGAACAGAAAGGCTAGTTAGGTTGGTGCTTAGAATATATATGATCTTCCAACTAAAATCAGAATGTGTCTCTGTGGAATAATTAAGTTGCCCATTCCAATTGTTCCAGATTCACCAATTAAACAAAAACCCTTGAAATAATTCATCTAGTTGAAGAGTTCTTACTCCTTTCTCTGTGGTGTCCTTATAATGATGAAAACTTTAATTTTAAAGTTAATTTCGGTATTATTAAAATGTTACATTTTAGAACACGATATGCATTGTCCTCTTTACCCACTGACCAGGTGTCTCATGTCCACTGCAGAGAAACAAGCAAATTCTGTCACCTATAATTGTACTATGTAATATCTTCTAATTTTATAAATAAAAATAGTAACAGTTTCAAAAGATTCCCATATATGAAAGACCACATATAGAACTTCTTTTAAATACATTTTCCATGTCAAGTACTATTTTTCTCTCCTTTTTTCAATATATCTTATTCTGACCAATATTATACATCTGAAATCTCTTTGCTGCAGCAGACCCATTGAACACGATGGAAATGAGACTCCGCTGGAAACTTTTCTTCCTGCGACAAATAGCTTTATGAGCATAATCAGATCACACCCTCTGGCAGCGGTCTGTAAGGACTCCGGGTCGTTTTAGCCTTCGAGCTCCATTGGTTCAGAAATACACACTGGAGTCTTTCTACTTTGTATAGACATGAGCTCAGAGATAGATCCGACGCTGTCCTTCGTGTTTGCAAACTTCCCACGTGGCCTCGTGTGGGTGCGGGAGAGAGTATCGTGCCTCCATCCTGCCAGTCAGCGTGGGCTCAGTGCTGCCATGACCAGGAACTGTTCTAGCTGCTGCGGTTCCATCACAGGCTGGAAGTTAATAAATGTGCAGAAGATTTGAATAGATTCTTCACCAAAGAAGACGCACAGATGGCACATAAGCATATGAAAAGCTCCCAACATCATCAGGAAGTACGAATTAAAACTGCAGTACGAGACTTCCCCGTGCCTATTAAATTACTTAAAATACCCAGCTGCACGGCTGTGTCCTGGCGAGCCTGTGGGGCAGCTGGAACCCGCCTCCCCTGCAGGGTGGGCCCCTCCCCGGCCTGAGTCCCAGGCCCCTTCTGTGCGGGCCGCCCAGCTCACTTGGTGCATCTATACCAGTTAGTTTGGAGCTTTACAAAGAGAAAAGATAACTTGGGAATGAGAATACAGGTAAACTGTATTCTACTTACGAAATGCTGAATGTAAACCAAAGGTACTTGGAAAATTAAAATATGATTGGGGTTCTGGATTTTTAACGCCCATCGCAGTTGCTTGAAAATGTCTGTTCTCTTGACATCAGTGTAAGACGGTGGGTTTTGGTGGACAGTGTCTCCCGATAAGTCGTACCTGCTGCAGACGGCCGTGCGTGAAAGCCACGTGCTGACGACGTCCTGGCAGACCCACCGCGGCTGCCACCTCCTGGGCTTGTCTGTTTAGCTGTTTTATAAAGTCTGAGGTGCTCATCTCAGTATCTGAGGTGCCCTGTCCTTTTCGTATTTAAATGTGTTCCTGTTCTTGTTGCCAAAGTACCCGGTTTTGGGGCGACTTTCCTGTCCTCTGCTTCTCAGAGGAAACCTGTTCAGTGCGAAGGCGGAGCTGACATGGGACTCCCTGGTGGTGTCCCGATGACGTGGGGCAGAGAGCCTTTGTCTCAGCCCAAGCACATGCACTTCTGGCAGAACGGACAGTAGACTGTCACGTCCCTGAGAAGACACTTTTCAAATCTGGGGCTTTCTGCCTGATGTCAGAGAAACTGCTTCCCAGCCTTGGAGTCTTAAGTTACAGGCAGGGCGGCTCGGGCAGACCTCCCAGGCTGGGCTCACAGAAGCGACCTTTCTGACAGGTGCTCCTCACACAGAGCCGGCCTTTCAGACGGGTTTTGCTGGGTGGACGGGTCTTTCCTGACCTTGAGGTTGTTGCCCCTTCTTTTCTCGTCAGAAAGGAGTTTCTTTGTGGCAGTTTCTGGGGAGAGTTTGTGAGCATAAGTGTATGGAGAGGCCATGGAGTTGCACACGTCACCACTGAGTGTGTCCTTCCAGGGAAAGCACAGAGCACGTTAGATCAGGACGGAATCCCACACCAGGCGTTCCTCGCGTTTTTGTGTTTGTATGTCTGTTTATGCCTTGTGATATCCCACAAAAGATTTTTGACAAGTCTTAGGGATTGTATGGAATGAAACAGAGAAATAGAAATTTAAAAATCATGAAACCAGCCTGAAAACAGACCCGTAGACCAGCCATAAAATTATAGGTCTGAACCAAAGGGAAAATGGATACGATTATAAAGCTGTAAAGTCCCACCTGTCATTCTAATGTGGTACCGCGCTTTGTAAGGCTTTAGGGATCTGCAGCTTCGTACATTAATGCTGCTGTGGAGCTACAGCACACACACAGTGTGACACTGGCACAGTGCTTGGCCAGTTGTCACTTAGTCTAGGAGCCAGGGAGCATATCCTGTGTAGCATGATAAAGGTGGCTTTTCAAACCAGTGGAGAGAAGGTAGATTATTCGGTAATGTTTTTAGTGTGAGGAATAAATTTAGGCTTCTGCCTCATGCCAAAGGAAATTCTAAATGATTTGATAGTGAATTATGAAACCATAAAATTACCACATATGCTGATAAAATTTAAGGAAAATGAATACAAATGGCGGGATACAAATGTATCATAATGAAGAAGTTTTTAAAAGACAAAGGGAAGGGAAGAAAAAATGAAATTCTAAAGAAAAAAATTGTGTAGCTTTCATACATAAAAGTACCTGAAAAATGATATAAGTAAAATGAAAGGCATTAGGTAAACTGGAGAAAATATTACAAACCTGTATTAACGCTTTGTTATAGTTATAATGAGGGAATTCTCATAAATCATTAAGAAAAATAAAAACCTCCAATAGAATTTTTTTAAATAGAGGCAACAGGAGCTTTGGCCGGTCCTTTTTCTGGGTGTTATTCAAAGATATCTGATCCCAAAGTTCCTGGGTATTATCTGATCTTAGGTTATGAAGACATTATCAGATACACCGGCGAGTGTGTTCCATGGTCTCCTGCTGCAGATAGGAAATTAGTCAGAGTCCTGTAGTAGGTGCTAGTGAACACGGGGCTTTGGGTGTAAGTTACAGCCTCTCACATGTAGTGGGGGCCTGGCACCTCATACTTGGCTTGTTTTTCAGAGCGTTCCACCCCACGCCCGATGCTCTGTGCTGGGCGTTGTATGTATTTTAATCGTGTGGAGAAGAGCTGCTGAGGTCTTATGCGAGGTGTTTTCTCCCCGTTAGGTCTCTCTGCAACGCAATCCATGTTTACAGCCTCACCTGCAGTAACTGCCCGGAAAACTGCGCCGACGTTCTGTTCAGTAACAAGATTACCTTCTTAATGGACCTCCTGACGCACCAGCTGACGGTATGTAATAGTGTTGCTTTGAGTTGGAAGTAGTTAAGGTTCGGGAAGTGTTCCCTGTGGAGAAAAGGAAAAGAATTCACTCGCTCTCCAGGTCAGAAACACAGTAGAGATGACTGGGAGAATCAGAGGCCAGCAGAGAAGCCTCTTAATTGGAAAATCTCGTACTGGGTTCCCCTCCGCTCGGAGGGGAGATAATACATCGCGACACTTGCCAAGACCACACCTTGACCCGGTTAGACTGGGGCTTTGGAGTCCGTTGGCCTCAAAGCCAAACCTGTGAGGCCCCAGGAGCGAGTGCTGCGGAAGGGAGAGCGGGGAAGGCCTGCAGACCTCTGCCAGCTCACCAGGCGGGCCAGTGTAAAAAGGAATATTTGATGGCCATTAACTTTTTTTTTTTTGAAGCAAGAAATGCCTCTGTCAGTTTTACTTTTGAGATGGGAACAAGCAGCCAATTGTAACCTTACGTTATACTTCAATTCACAGATGTTGAAACAGGTAAGCTCAGTGCAATATCCCACGGTTTACGTCTCCAGAACACAGCCTGGGCCAGAGATTTCCTGGGGAGGTCTCTGAGTCCCTGAGGTATCGGCACGCCCGCGCTCACGCTGTCAGTCACAGCAGGGGATTTATTCTTCAGCCGATTTACTTTACCCAGCACATAGTTGTAATGGTTGTTTCTAAGCTGCATGCCTTTGCTCTCCTTCCTCCTCCATCTGGTTAATTTCTACACGTTCTGCAGACCTGACCTGAGACACAATGGCCCCTTCTCCCTGAAACCTTCCCCAAGCCCAGGCTAGGGTTTCTCATGTACGCCTCGGCACCCGTCCCCCATAGAACTAATCACATTGAATTGTAATGACCTCTTTACTTACCATAAAGTCAGCAAGGACTTCTTACTGTCACCAAGGCCCTAACACAAGGCCTGTAGATTCAGTGCATCGGGGATGAATATACGGGTGAATAAATGGATCCCCGTGTGTCTCCAGCTGAAACTCAGAAAGTGCACAATGCAGCCCAATATGCAGGCACCCTGACAGGGAGATGTAGAGCTGTTGGTTGCACACACAACGGTGGCTGTTTATGGTGCTGACACAGGTTCATCACTTGAGGCTAAATTACATACGGTTTTACCTATAAAAGAAGGCATTAAAATATGGGCAAGACATTTTGGCACAAAATTCTATCAGAAATAGTTAAAAAGCAGGGACCCGGGGAAAAGACTTAGTGTTGTGTGGCCTTATATTCCAGGCATTTTAATATATATTGCCTCATTTAATTTTTAAACCATAAAGTCAGTATTGTTACCCCATTTTACAGATAAGGAAACTTGAGTCCCAGAGGGGTTGGCTGGCCAGGGTCTACATCGTTAGTAAGTCACAGAGCCAAGAGTCAGACCTCGGTCTCCAAACCCAAGTAAGGGGCATTCTACACAATAACTGATGGATACTTTTCAAAAGTGTCAGTGTCAGGAAAGACAAAGAAAGATCGGAGAACTGTCACAGGTTGGAGGAGACTTAGAAGATCTGACAGTTACATATAATGTGGGATTTTACACCAGAAAAAGGACAAGAGTGAAGAGATTGGAAAATTCAAATAAGGTTTACAGAATAGTTCATTTTATTGGCTCAGTATTCGTTTCCTCCTTTCAAAAAGAATCAAACAGAAATTTTGGGGCTGAAGAATACAATAATTGAACTGGAAAATTAGACAAGTTCAAGAGCAGACTTTGTTGTGCCCAGAATAACTTGATCTTACAGAGGAAAGAGTCAGTAAATTTAGAGACAAGTCATTTGAAATTACCCAGTCGCAGGAACTAAACGAAAAAGGAGTGAAAACGAGTTGATCTTACAGAGGAAAGAATCAGTAAACTTAGAGACAAGTCATTTGAAATTACCCAGTCACAGGAACTAAACGAAAAAGGAGTGAAAACGAGTGACAAAAGCTTACGGGGCTTATGCAATACCACCCAACAGACCAATACATGCACACAGGTGGTCTCAACAGGAGGGAGGGAGAGTGGGAGGGAGAGGGAGAGAAGGGCAGGAAGCGTATTTAATGAAATAAGAGCATACATTTCTCAGTCGGGGGAAGGAAATGGATAGCTAGATGCAAAAAAAGTCCAGTGGACTCCAACTAGGATGAACCCAAAGAAATCCACACAGAAACACAAAACGCGTCAGTACATTTAAGAAGGCTGATATCACACCACCTGTATTTTCTGACCACAGTGCAATGAAAATAGAAATAAATGGCAGAATGAAAACTGGGAAATTCACAAATACATGGAAATTAAACAATACTCTCATGAAAAACAAATGGGGCCCAGAAATTAAAATAGAAATTAAACAATACCTTGAGTCAAATGAAAATATAATACACCAAAACTATGGGATGCTGCAGAAGCAGTGCTAGGAGGGAAGCCTATAGCAATAAATACCTGCATGTCTCCAACTACCTAACTTTACACCTCAAGAACCAGTAAATACGGAAGGACAGACTAGGCTCAGGGGATGCGTACCGAGGAAATAATGAAAATGAGAGAAAACTGGGAGCCTGCCATTGGAGGCGGCTCTCCTGGGTCCGTTTTCCTGTGTCCCCTCAGTTCGCTACGGGCCCCGCGCTCGGACCATGATCTGGCACCGTGCGGCCCTTGTGGGGACGCAGCACGCACAGGGAGGCCTTGCGGATGGGGAACAGCACGTCACCGCCTTCGGGGAAGCCGGCAGCTGCTCCGTGAGTCGGATCCAGTATTCACGCACAGCTGTAGATGTAACCGCAAGGCCGGAAACCTACTGTGAGGGAACTGCCTCTAGAATAAGGACACGGAGTCACAAGTGTTCAGCAAAGACGGGCTTGAGGAAAGACTCCAGGAAGCCATTTCTGATGGCGTGTGGTGATTTACTCAAAGACATCTTGCTCCTGCTGTAACCCGGCAAAGAAGCTTCCTCACGGCATGAACGGGAGCCACAAGGCGGTGGCGCTGGGCCTGCTTGAATACGGAAGCCGGTTTCAGGACGCGCTGGACAAGATGACGGTGAGAGAACTGAGCCAAGAACATTTGTCAAAGGGACTTTTATCGGTGGGCCACCAACACCCACAGCCTCATCAGGCTTCATCATTGCTGCCACCGGTTCATCGGTGTTATTTAAAAAGCAAGCGTTTTGGCAAAAGTGCTTGAGGATGTCTAATTGTGAACAGTCTTCATGTAAACGTTGTTAAAATAATGAACAATGGATCACTGTGGAAACCTCAAAAAAATAACATTAGAGAAAACCAGCCTGAAAACAGACCCGTAGACCACAGAACAGAGCAGAACAGAGCAGAGAACCCGGAAGTAAACCCCGCGTGTTCAGCTAACCCTCGACCGTCGAGATGCACGGAGGGAGGAGGCTGGCATCTCCGCACCTGCCGTGGGAAAGCTTGACAGCCACGTGCACAGGGATGAAGCCATCCCCAGGATGTAAGTCGGGGTGGATTGAAGACTTAAATCCTGGAGGAAACACAAGGAAAAAGCTCCATGACTTTGGTTCTGGCCGTGGTTCTTGTGGGTATGACACCCAACGCACAAGCCACAAAAGCAAACACACACACAAACGGGACTGTGTCAAACTAAAAGGCTCCGTACAGCAAAGGAGACCGTCACAAAGTGAAAAGGCAACCTAAGAAATGAGGGAAATAGATCAGGGGTCAATATCCAACATACAAAAAGCATCCCTACAAAATTGTTACTAATTACGAAGTGCGAGTACGTTTATGGTGGACAAACCCGGCTCACACCACCTTGTCGCGGGGTCAAAGTGAACATCACCAGATGCACAAACCCAGTGTCTGCCGCACCTGACGCCACAGCGGGAGCCCAGCGCCGCCTCTGCAGCTCCCGAGGATGCGTGTGTGACTGACCGCGCGGCATCAAGCTGACCACAGTGGGACATTCTCCACCATGGCCTGCAGTCTTCAACAAGCCTCAGATAGAAGATGCTCAGTGGCAAAACGTAGCTGCAGGAAGAAAACTGCAGATGGAAGGCACGGAGGGTTCCGCCAGCGATGGAAGGCACGGAGGGTTACGCCAGGGATGGAAGGCACGGAGGGTTCCGCCAGCGATGGAAGGCACGGAGGGTTCCGCCAGCGATGGAAGGCACGGAGGGTTACGCCAGGGATGGAAGGCACGGAGGGTTCCCTCAGCAATGGAAGGCATGGAGGGTTCCCTCAGCGATGGAAGGCACGGAGGATTCCGCCAGGGATGGAGGGCACGGAGGGTTCCGCCAGGGATGGAGGGTTCCGCCAGGGATGGAAGGAAGCAGCCCTCTTCCCTTTGTGTCTGGCAGAGGGAAGAGCAGCGAGCAGAAGCCTGAGACGAAGAAACGTGTTGAGGGTGAGACTCCCCCACGGACACGTGGGCACGTGCATCAGAAAGCAGGGGCGAGAGGGGGGCCTGGGTGGATAGTGAGTCCGGGGAGGAGACAGTGGACAGGGAGGGGCCCACACAGGCCTCCCAGCACCTGCAGTGTTCCGCCAGGGATGGAAGGAAGCATCCCTCTTCCCTTTGTGTCTGGCAGAGGAAGAGCAGCGAGCAGAAACCTGAGATGAAGAAACGTGTTGAGGGTGAGACTCCCCCATGGACACGTGGGCACGTGCATCAGAAAGCAGGGGCGAGAGGGGGGCCTGGGTGGATAGTGAGTCCGGGGAGGAGACAGTGGACAGGGAGGGGCCCACACAGGCCTCCCAGCACCTGCAGGGACGCGTTGGCTGCCTGCCTCCTGAGGCCCATGCAGCGCCTTCACGTTTGCACTCGGGGCCTCTGGCTCTCCAGTCAGTGAAAGAACAGTCACACCAGACATTAAGGGTCATTCAGGCCGCGAAGCTGTCGAGGGGATTTATGGGAGGTGGGAAAGGGACGAACAGCCTGCGTCCTGGTGGCCCCTGCTCCTGCCCAGGTGTTCTCACCTGAGAGCAATTGCATGGAGAGGGGGCAGCAGCACTAGCTGTCGTGAACGCCTCGCCTCGGTGCAGCAGGTGCGTCTTCGTGGCGACCACTGCAAGGTGTAGGCTCCCTGAACGGTCACGTGCTTTCTCCTGCACCTCGGCGATGCCGTTTCACAGATCCTGTGTTGTAAACCTGTGCTTTGGGGTCGGCAGTGTCTTACGAGCATGCCCTGCCCCTGCGTCCCCGCAGTCTCACTCCTAGCTATTCACCCAAGAAAAATGAAACCATTTCCCACCAAAAAAAAGACTTGCACAAAAATGATATTAGACATTTTATTCATAAATGACTACATTCCTAAACAGCACACATGTCCACCAACAGGTGAAATGACAAACAGATGTAATCCATACACTGGAATAATATTTAGCAACAAAAATGGATGAACTATTGATATACTCAGCAACATGGATGAGTTATTCATAATTTAGGAAGCATTACTCGGTGGGGGGAAAGCCAGATTAAAGTCTACCTGTTTTTATGGTCCCGTAATATGAAATGCTAGGAAATGCCACATAACCTACGATGAGACAAAGCAGATGGGTGTGCCCAGGGCCCTGGGGATGAAGGACATTGACTTGGAAGGAGCACAGGGAATTCTGGGGGCGATGAAAATGTTCTGTTTCTTGATTATGATGGTTTTGCACAGGTACGTTCCTTTTGTCAAAATTTATTAATGCACACACTTAAAATAGGTGGTTTATAATCACATTTGTTTTTAAAATATGCTTTTGCAAATGTGGCTAACTGACATCAATTAACGAATCTGTGTAGACGAGTGTAGTTCATTGTTTGCTATTCCTTGGCTTTAAGGCAGCTTGACATCTTTTCAAAGAAAAGGTAGCGTATAAAGGCTTGTGGAGGTGGTGGCATTAGGTAGAGACCTAGAGGAAGTGGGGGGCGGGTCACAAGCCCGCCTGGGGGAGGGGGATTCAGGGAGAGAACCTCCGAGTGGCACGGGAGCTGGAGGCGATGGGGCCGTGCACAGGTCGGGAAGGGCCTGTGGGCTTTCTGAGCTTCGGGGCTTTAACTGTGCAAGAGAGGAAAACAGCAGCAGAAGAACCGGACTCAACATTTATAGCAAAGAAATTTAAAACCATTACGACTACTGAGGCCTGTACCATAAAGTTTGCTAAAGTTATTATTTAGGACTTTGGCTACTTAAAATATATATAAATATATATACACACATACATACAGAGACTGGAAGCCATAATAAATATATTTAAAAGGATAATGACATTTTGGATAAAATATTATGTCCTCTTTATTGTTTGTAGAAATTTTACAAAGATAATATTGAAAACTTATTAGCCATCCCCATGCAGTTTCTTTTTATACTTTCAAGCCAAGGAAATCATCATGTTTAATATCCGTTATGAGCTGTGGTTTTATTACAATATGACACGAGCATAGATGTTTTATGAAAGACCAGTGGTGAGAGGACGGTTGTATGTCCAAGGACAGTTTGCTAAGGGACATAAAACAGTGGCCACTGTGTGGAAACCTCCGCTGCCGCGACCCTTCAACGTGCTTTTCCTCCCCCTGAACCCTCTCAGTGTCTTCACAGGCGCTTCTAAACGGTCAGTCTCCTGTTGGTCTCAGTGAACTTAACTCATCTTCTGACCGTTGCGAACACACCCTACAACTAAATGTGGGTAAACCCGACTTCACAATGCTAAAAATTAGTTGGGTAGAATTACCACTGATTACCAAGTTAATTTTCTCTCTCGTGGAGTCATGTTACAGAGGGTGGATTTATGCCGCTAATAAAAGCATCTTTCTGTATTGCCAAAAAGAATTTAGAATGTTCCTGCAACCACTTTGGTGGTGGGAGGTAGTGGGGGGAAAGAATCTGAGCTTGTCTTTTAAAAGCGAAGATGACTTTAATTTAATTTTGCTAAAACACTTTGCCTCTGTGGGTTGGTCCCATAAATATTGGGTTTCTCCTTGGAATGGATTTAGAATAAGCATGTAGCACTTACTCCAGTCCCGGTGGCTTCTTTGGATCATGGTTTCCTCAAATAGAAGATGGAGAAATAAAAAAGATTGAAAGGGAAGACTTTGTGATAAGCACACACATGAAATCACGTTGTAGTTTGCTGGTACATTAAGAGTAAGACAGTGACGGCACCAGTGTGTTCTGCGTAAATATACGAAGGGAATCCCTTTCGTTCATAGGACGAGAGGCTGTGGTTTTACGTTCTGCCTGAGGAGCAGGTCCCCAAGAGCCAGAGCTCATAGCGGTGTTTTCCCCAGGCCGGGCCTGTGCTCACCAGCAGGGTAGTTACAAGTGCTGCGCCTGCTGGGAAGGTCGCCCGCCTGCCCTCCGTAGACCACCCACCCGGAGGGAATGCGCTCCGGGCTCCGGTGGGCAGGTGTGCAGCAGACAGGGCTGGGGCTGGCGGGGAGGCGGTGGGCTTGCACACCTTCCCTACAGGCCCTCACTGGCAGCTGTGCGGTGGGAAGTTCAGACTCCAGTGCTGGTCGGTGAGCACACAGAGCTGGGTGCGTTTCACACTCGGTGTCCCACAAGCACAGGTTCTCTCACCCGGGCAACTGACCGATACCCAGCTGGACAGAAGACGGGACAGAGCCCTGCCTGACCAGAACGCCCTGCACAGTGCAGCTAGTTCTCCTCAAGGTTCCTTGTGTCGAATCTCGTTTTGAAGATTAGAAAGAACTTCTGGTCTCACTAAAGATAAGCCCCTCCTTGAATTAATTCAGGCACCTTTGAATTTTTTTCCTGGATGAAATAAGCAAAAGAAAACTCCATTCTCAGCAGTAAGGATCAATACTAAGTGAGTAAATAAGGGGAAAAGGACGCGTAAAACCATGGCGATGTGACTGAGCTGATGTGAGACGGACAGGCGGTTGGGAATGGGAATCATGATGAGAAGGGAAGGGCAGCCCGGGCTCTGACTCACCCCAGGCCTGGCCAGCCTGAGCTGCGGGCTCGTCGTCTGACCGCCAGCTTGTCAGAGAAGCTTTTCAGTTTGTGTTTACTTTATGAGAAACTGTCAAAATGGGGTTTATGACATGGGGCTGAAAGCCCCAATGAAGTGGTGAATTAGCCCTGGCCGGTGTGGCTCAGTAGATAGAGCGTCGGCCTGCGGACTGAACGGTCCCAGGTTCGATTCCGGTCAAGGGCACATACCTGGGTTGCAGGCTCCTCCCCACCCCGAGGCCTGGTCAGGGCTTGTGCAGGAGGCAGCCAATCCACGCGTTTCTCTCACATCAGTATTTCTCCCAGTGTTTCCCCTCTCCCTTCCACTGTCTTTAAAAATCAATGGAAAAAATACCCTCAAGTGAGGATTTAAAAAAAAGAAGCTGTTGTTACCCGTTTTACAAATGAGAAAACTGAAGGTGGAGGTAGACCTACTCAAGGCCATGCAGCTCGCGGGGGGGAAAGCTGAGATTTGAACTCAGCAATCTGACTTCACAACCAGCGCGCGCACATTCAGAGAGCCAGCTCTAGAGTTTCAAAATTACTTATGATTCCAGAAATTTCCACATCATCTCTGTCCATTTTTGGTGGTTTTACTTAAACATAATTACTGTATTTATTTCCTTCTAGGTTTATGTTCCAGATGAGAATAATGCTATTTTGGGGAGAAATACAAATAAGCAAGTTTTTGAAGGTTTGACAGCTGGACTTCTCAAAGTCAGTTCTATGGTCTTTGGCTGCCTGATTGCCAGTCGACCGGATGGAAACAGCCGGCCAGCTACACCAAAGACATCGACGGAGGAAACGAAAAACAGACCCTCACCAGGTGATGCCTTTAACAGTCGCGTTCAGGACCTCATCAGGTAAAATGGCTAGATTTTAAAATACTTACTTCTTCGTTTAAAAAAAAAATGTTAAGGTAATTTAAATCTCAGGGCCCATGTGATGGCAGTGGTTCTCACAACACCATCCTCTCGTTCCTGGTAGAGAATACGCCACATTGTGTAGAGAGGAGAGCACTTGTTAATGAGAAGGACTGTGGCTGGTGCTCACCTGTCATTCTTGCTCTTTAGATATTTTAATATATGAATATGTTGTGTCCAGGTTTTGTAACTTTCTTGCTATCAGCTCTTTTCAACTCAGAGAATCCCTGAGAATCCTTCTGTCCCAGATCATCTCTGCCTATAAATTTGGTGCAGCCTTAACCAGTCACCACAGCTACCATTTCTGGGGCTCCCCTTGGTGTACGGTGTTGAGTGGAGGCGGCTTTGCAGCCTGTAGGCGAGGGAATGCTCAGAAAGGCATTGTTTTGACTAACAATTGAGCAGGTTGATAATGACGAGTCCTTCTTTTGTTTTCCAGTAGATGGAGCTATAGCCCAAGTTTTTTTCTCTTACCTGAGCTGCTTGCAGGAGGAGGGGGTGGGGGGGAATGACTGTGGGTTAGGAGTGGTCGCCTGGGCTCAGGGAGCGGGGGCAGGGTGCTTGGCTCTCAGAGCACCACCACCACGACCAGGGCAGGGGGCGTCGGGGTTGGTGAAACCCCCCCTGCTACCCTATTCCCTGTGGCCACTGGCTCTGCTGTGCTCTGTCAGGGACGCCGGAAGCTCCGGCTCCTACTCTGCTGCTGCCCCTCACCCTCCATCGGGTCAGAGTGGTGGCTGCTCCAAACTCCTCCTCAGGCACCCGAGCTGTGTGCACCGTTCCTGTCCTCCCTGCCCCGCCTCCCCTCCGAGTTAACACACTGGCCCTCATAGTACCACCGTGTGCAGTGCTGATCAGGGAACCTTGTTGGCTCATAGGTGACGTACCGGCTGTAACTGTGAGGGGACACTCTACATGGTGCTCATGTCCGTGGGCCTGTCTGCATGCCAGGCCCCCCTGCTTTCACTGCCGTAGCTTGTAATATGGGGGACTCGGCGTGCGCCACCTCCAGCTCTGCTTGTCTGTCAGGGCTGCTTTGCTGTTTGGTGTGTTCTGTGGTTCCATGCAATTGTGTTCGCTGTTTCTGCAAGAAATGCCATTGGGATTTTCGCTGAGGGATTGTGCTGAATCTACAGACCTGAGCCTCTTTTCTGCTGTCTCTGCTTGTTTCTGTCAGCGTGGGCTCTGCATGTCGCTAGTAAGGGGCCACCAGCAAGCCCACACTCCCATCTCTCAGGGCCGATGGCCCAGTGGAGAGAGATTCTTCCCGTGGTCATAGCCAGCTTCCCCGAAGGTGCTGAGGGGTCCCCCACAGGTCATGGGCCCCCCGGGACTTCCCGTGTTGCCACGGAGACGATGCTCAGCCTGTCCTGGGGCACAGGCTCTGCAGGAGGCACAACACTAACGGCCCCCCGGCCACGGGGGGCGGAGGGGGGACACGCTGGGCATGTCCGTGGGCCTGTCTTTCCAGGATACACACAGGAAGCAGGCGGCCACTGCCCGCTCCCTGTGGGCTGTGAAGACAGTTCACTGATGGTCATGCAAACACACTTTCTAAATCGGGAAGTTCTGTGCGGATACAAGGTTTGATTCTGTTAGATCTGATTATCATGCGACCCTCCGTGGCTGCACGGCCGCCTGTGAGTTTTCCTCATGGGAAGAGGACAGGGCTTCCCGGTGTCGACACGAGCCGCTGCCCGTAGCCTGGGAGCACACTCCTGGTGTCGCAGGAGAAGGCGGGCATCCAGGATCCTGCGCCTTCTGTGAACTCGGAAGAGGCTCCCAACATGAGTGACTCCTCAGACTCGACTCCTTACCCAGAGGGGGTGGGATGCACTTGGGAGCAGACGCATCGACTCCTTCACACGCATCCCGGGAAGTTAGCGTGTTGATGTTCAGAATGGCTGCATGCGTAGTCCTGTCCTTTCATACGTGTAAATGCAGTAGCCCTGAGTCAGAATAAAACGTCTAAGCTAAGGTGATGTACAAGGTCATTGTAGTCTTACGTGTTATTTTCAGCGATTGCTGCCTTGAGGACTCTTACAACAGCTGCTGCTGCTCTTCCACTGTGATGAGCAGCTCTGGAAACCAGTGGACTGGAAAGATGGCGGCGCCTCCCTAACTGTCAGCTCTTAGGCTGGCCCCTCTCAGAGCAGAAAGCAGTGAGCGTCTCACTGTTGGTCCTGTACTCCATAGTGTCAGGTTTTAAACAGGGAACCTGCAGTTGGCAGCAGAGGTTTCAGTTTGAACAGGGTGTGTGGGCAGCATCGAGTTTAGGAGGTACTGACCTCAGGAGTGCAGAGGTCACCACACAGCTTCCAGCTATTGTCAGGCTCCAGACCCCACGGATGGTCAGGTGATCCCGTTCAGCCATCTTCCTGGAAAACCAGTGTTAGAGTAACTCAGAGAGAAGAGAACCACTTACAGAAGTAGCTCATTCCTCAGGACTGAATCTTCAAGAAGGTGTCACTTGAGAAGTTTCACTCAGACGTGTGTTGTGCTTGCTAGAAGGTGGACCTAAGCTTCTGTTTGGTCAGATGGGTCTAGAAGGGAAGGTGCAGGCGCTGACGCTTCTCTGCATTTGCAGCTACGTGGTGAGCATCGGCCTGGTCCACAAGCTGTGCGGCTGCTTCCTGTCCGTGCAGGGCCCGGTGGACGAGAACCCCAGGCTGGCCTCGCTTCTGCAGCACGCGGCCGGCCTCTTGCAGGGCGCCTGCACGCTGTGCTGGGCTCTCACCGGAAGGTAAGGTGCCTCCTGAGGTCCATCTGGACTGAAATTGTGAAACTTCTCTTAAATTTGGGGAATTTGGGGTCATTTCCTAGGGAGGCAGGTGGTCGGTCATCTTGGCCTCTTCTTTGTGGTCCCGCCTCTGCCCTTATTGGCTTCCCATATGGAAATGGGCTGAGCCTCCTGTCAGAGTCTGCTTTCCTTGTTGGCGTCATAAACCTGACTCGCTGATGGGAAAGACCTGAGAGGCCACAGGAGCCAGAGGAGCCAGGCGGTTCTGTGCGTCAGCGTCAGCGACACAGCCCCGCCCTGATCGGGCAGGTCCTCAGCACGGCACAGCCTTGGGGTGCCGCCCGTGTTCACCGCCACTGGGCGTGTTTATTCTCCCCTTCGCCCCACATTCCACGGGATCCCCGTGAATAAGGGGAGGACCGTCCAAAATCAGTAGCTCCCTGAAGTCACACGTGACCCGCGGGCATGACTGTAGCTGGTGTGCACTGTCCTCCGGGAGGGCGAGTGACCCCACCGCAGGGCGACTCAGCGTTTCCGATGGCCATGGGACTCGCCTCCGGGATACGGAGGATTTTCAGTAAAACAATTTCCTGACAATTAAATTACAAGCAGCACTGCATACAAATCATTTTTTAGGGGTTTTTCAAGAATAAAACCAGTTATTGCCCCAGCCGGTGGGCTCAGTGGTTGAGCGTCAACCTATGAACTAGAAGGTCATAGTTCAATTCCCGGTCAGGGCACATGCCTGGGTTGCGGGCTCCATCCCCAGTGGGGGGCATGTAGGAGGCAGCCAATCCATGATTCTCTCTCATCATGGATGTTTCTCTCTCTCTCCCTCTCCCTTCTTCTCTGAAATCAATAAAAACATACAAAAAAGAATAAAACTAATTATTGAAACTTCTAAAGTCTACACGCTTAAAGAAATATTATCCATATTCAGAGAGCAGGTGCCTACACACCACACAGAGGCTGTGTGCCACCCGCTCGCCCCATGCTGTCCCTTCCCCCAGGGGACCCTCCTGACCCTGGCTCTTCTGTGTGCACAGCACGGTCAGTTTGAGGGAGCTGCACCAAACGGGCACTGAGGAGCATTGCAAGGTGAGGTACCAGATGAGCCCCACACAGGGGAGCTCTGGGCACCGAGAGGAGACCGACGGGAGGTGTGGACGCCCTGGGGATTGGATTGTCTCCGAGGGCGACAGGACCACATTTCTGTTACAAAACGCCCGGCCCTGAAAAGTGCACGAGGAACTGGGTGGCAGGAGCCTAATGGGGGCAGGACTGGGGGGCCTGTGGGGACAGTGAGTGGGAGGGACGTTCCTGGCTTGGAGGACGAGGGAGGAGGACGGAAGGGAGGGATCCAGAATGACTCAAGGGTCTGACTTGAAATGTTTGAGTGGTAGATGGTATAGTCCCAGCCTAGGCAGTGTCAGCGTTTTCCATGGGGGTCTCCTGGACGTGCCTAAGGGCTGTCCCCGCGGACTGAAGTCTGTGTGTGTGTGTCTGTGGGTGTGCGCACGTGCAGAGAGAAGTACAGTTGTTTCGATGTACTTAATGCAACTGGATTTTTAGATATATTAGTGATTAAATCTTGGTTGTTTTTAAGAATTCTTAATCCGTTTTACCCAATATAATTTTCTTCCTAGCAGTGACCCCTGGTTGCTGCTCTCGTCCCCTCCTTCAATCCCCCACGTTGTCTGGCACCACCAGCACCTCTAATACTTACAGACCGTGTCACTCTACTTGCCCTCTTTGTGGGAATTATATTTCTAAACTGTAAACTGCAGCAGCCTGTTGAAGGCACTTGGTTCCATGTGTGACTCGGTGCCCGCGAGGTCACAGCCGGGTCAGGGGTGCATGTGGCTGCGGTGACGGTGACGGGGGAGTCATGCCCCAGCGCCTCTTCGGGCTGCAGGCGCCCCGCAGCGTCCAGGGAGGTGTGGCCCAGCGGGAATCAGAGACAAAGAGGAGCCAGAGGCCCCGGCCTGCCCCCTGCACGGCGCCCGCCTGAGCGCACAGGCCCGAGTCTGCTGGTGGCCGCCTGCGGGAGGGCGATTAGCAGGTGGGCCTGAGCCTACTGCCATTGTGCCCTTAATCTCCTGATTTCTCCCTGGCTCTCGGGGAGACCCCCGGGTGTGAGAATGTGCCCGGCTAATCCTGGCTCCGGGCGGGGAGGAAAGCACTGCTGGGTGACAGTGAACTTGCATTGAAGTGGAAGCTGAGATTGTGACCTTCTGGTAAAAGGACTGGTTTGTGTGAGGGATCCGCCAGAATTCCCCGGGTGAGTTGTTCTCAGGCTGCCCTTCTTCGTCACGTAACAGAACCCAGCGTCTGTGAGAGGGCTTCCAGGAGCGCCTGTTTCTGTGGCCTTCACTGTTACCAATTTTCCATTCTCGGTCCAAGAGAAAAGGATGGTTCTGAGATCCCAGTAGTCCTCCCTGAGGCCCTCGGGTGCTGGCTCCTGAGCCCGGCTGGCGGGACCAGAACAGGCCTGAGCGACTGTGAATCGCAGCCCACACGGCCTCCACTGAGTCGGCAGGCTTTCCAGACTCCGCGGGCGGCAGAGGACCCACAGCGAGGGGCGGGGCAGGGGGTCCTCGGTCCGGAGGCACAGCCCTGCTCCCGGCCAGTTCTGATTGCTGGTGAAGACTGTGCTGGACTCTGGAGTATTTTCACACAAGAAGATGTTTGTCGTTACGTGTATTTGTGGTTTCCATCTTCATAGCCATCAACTACATAACAAAGTGGGTTCTACCCAAGGTCCCTGGAATCTTGTCCTAAACAGAGGGGGCGATCTCTACGTCAGCCCGTTAATTCTGTGGGGACAAATGATGCCTCTCGAGTGTTAAGGGTGCTTGAAAGCCGCTTGTTCAGGCAAAGGTAAACTGTCCCCCGCCTGCCTGAATTATTCATTCATTCATTAAATAAATATTTATGCAGCACTTCTCTGTGCCAGGCCCTGAGCTGGGCGTGGAGAACCCAGAAATGACTCAGACATCGCTCCTGTCCTCAGGACCTCGTCAGCCAGAAAGGGAAAGAAGTTACATAGACGGAGACCCGTGGTGTGCGACGGAGGGCGCTGCGGAGGCGAGGTCCCCGGGCCGAGCACACTGCCGGTTAGAGCAGAGTCGCCGACGGAGGTCAGAGGGGCGAGGTCAGCTTCGTTGGAGGAATGAACTGTTTTCTGGAGCAACTAAAATTCAATTGGGCCTTGGAAGACAGGAGGGGCTGCAACATGTGGAGTTGAAAAGGAGTAAACGAAGAAGAAAACAAGGACATCACGCAGAAGAGCATGAAGACGGGAGGACTGACTGGCTTTAGCCGGGTTTTGAGATGGATGTAGTGATGCTAGTGCCTCCCAGGATGTCAGGAGGTTCCAGTGAGACGATGAAGGCACAGGGAAGGTGTGAGCTGCCGACAGCGTTTGTTCTGTAGGTGGAGTGGGCAGGGGCGGCCCCCTGGGAGTCAGTCAGGGAAAACCCCGGGTACCGGGCTCCCGCGAGCAGGAGGGGGGCTGCAGTGGGGCCTCCCAGACACAGGAGGCAGCGCCCGCCCTGGTGCGAGGAAGGAGGGGCAGAGAGGGAGTCGGGAGGGAGGGCCCAGACGAGGACAGATCAGACGTTTGGGTTTTTCCCAGTGGGATGGGGAGCCAGTGGAGGAGATGAAGCAGGCGAGTGGCATCACCTGATTATTAAAAGTAGGGGGGCTCCTGTTTACTCTGTGTAGACAGGGCGGGTGGGAGGGGGCGTCACCAGGTAGCCCCCACGTGACCGTTTCCTCCGTTACTCGCCCGGTGGGAGCAGGTACCTTCCTTGGCAGCACGGCGGAGCCTTTAGTGGAGCTCCTTCAGCCTCACGGCCAAACCCCAAAGATGAGAGAGGCCCCCAATATCGGCCGAACCAGGCAAAGCCAGCCCAGAGCCCGTGGCTGTTGAAGGGACACTGAGGAAGCTGAAGCTACAGAGGGACAGACGCCCGAGAGGCAGCCCTGCCCTGAGGCTCCCCGACCAGGACTGCACCTGCCAGCACACCTCCGCTTCTTCCTCCCACCTCCTCAGAGCGCGCAGTTCGCTTTCCACAACACCCGGTACTAGGCGCCCGCAGCCGCAGCGCACTTCTCTTGGAGCAGGGGAGCTCAGAGTCATCCTTGGGAGAATCAGTGACCTCACCCACCACCCCCACCTGGCACCTCTCCGGGCTAAATGGGAGGGTCACACAGATGCCTCGGGTTCCAGGACCAAAGGAGTGAACAGGCCCAAATCCAAGAAGCAAGGAGAGCAGTCCAGAAGGTCCCCGCCCTGAGGAGTGAGGGTGGATGTCAGCAAGCCAGGGATCCAGGACCAGGGACGACAGCAAGCAGGCCAGGAGCCGACGGGGAGGGGCGGTCCCAGCTGCGCGTGGGGGTGCCCTACAGGTGACGCAGCTGTTGCCCCACATGCTCTTCTTTAAGGCAAAGCCGGGTTTCAGGTGCTGTTCAGGGGGTTGATAGTTTTCCTAATTGGATTTGGCTTTCTAATGAGCAGACATGAATATGCCACTAAGACCTCGAGTCCTAGAGACCAAACAAAAACACTTTAAATCCAGCCCTAGCTGTGTTGCTCAGTGGATAGAGCGTCGGCCCTCAGACTGAAGGGTCCTGGGTTCGATTCCAGTCAAGGGCACATGCCTCCATTGTAGGCTCGATCCCTGGCCTGGGTTGGGAGCATACAGGAGGGGTGACCAATCGATGTGTTTCTCTCACATCGATGTTTCTCTCTGTCCCTGCCCCTCCCTTCCACTGTCTCTAAAAATCAGTGGGAAAATGTCCTCCGGTGAGTATTAACAACAACAAAAATAAAATAAAATAAAATCTGACAAAATTGAGGTGATCAGAGTGTAACATACAACATTTCAGATCTGATTTTTTAGGTTTTCCATGTATTTTTAAAAGAAAACTGTATGCCTGACATGAATGAGGCCTTTTACCTTTTTTATTATAAACATTCAGGCTTAAAGTGATTATAGCTGACAGTTAAGACCAACAGAAGCCAGTGGCCTGTTCGTGGAGAAATGATCTGCATTTCAGACTAAATCAAAGTAAACATTCTCTC